CCAAAAGTATTCATGGATTGGACTTTTACTTTTTTTGAAAAGTTTTAGGGAAGAATGACAACGTCGTCGTCGTCTTCGTCGTCTTCGTCATCGTCATCATCATCATCACATGATCATTTTGATCATCTTCCATTCACATTGACCACAAATCAATGCATTTATATTCAATTATTCAGTGAACATTTCTTGCAGCATCTTTTGTATTTGGTTTATTGAGGTATATACTGTTATAGAACCACAAAAATGTATCTTCTTACCAGTAATTTTTCTATTTTCATTTGAAGACATGTAAATTTTTTTACGGTGTGTATGCACATTTCGAAAAAAATCCATCAGAAAGTGTTTGACGCTTAAAATAAATGACGCTTAATTTTAAATGTTTGACGCTCAATTTTAATTGCGACAAAAATGCATTTCTTTGACGAAAATTCATCTGTACAAATACTGGATCGATTTTCAAGTGATTTGAGGTAAGTTCAAATAAGCGATCAATTTTCTGAAAAAAAAACTCTCAAATTATTTTCGACATTTTTAGGATCGTCGATGAATTGTTAACCGAAACCACGTTCAACGTCGCACATCGCATATTAAATATTTTCAATTCTATTACTCTAGCGATTTTATTGAATCAAATCTTTGTTGAATCCAATTCAGTCGGTTGGAATCGGAAAAACAGTCTGAAAAGCCCGCAGTCATCACGAGCGATTGGCCATCGAGTGGCTGCATTGAATTCCGAAATGTGTTCTATCGGTATTTCGCCGAAGCCAAGCCAGTTTTACAAGAACTGTCGTTTGTGATCAAATCAAAAGAGAAGATAGGTGAGTAAATGTATTTTGCCAATTGAATTTATGTTTAGAAAAATGATTTTATATAGGAATTGTTGGGAGAACGGGAGCCGGTAAGAGTTCTTTGATTGGCGCCCTTTTCCGTTTGGCTAGTGTTGAAGGTGAAATTCTAATCGATGGAATCGACACTGCCAATATTCAATTGAATGATTTACGCAAACGAATTGCCATCATTCCACAGGATCCAGTTCTCTTTTCGGGCACTTTAAGACGGGGTAAAATGATGATATTTTCATTCTTTTCGACGTTTCTAACGGTGAATACATTTCCAGAAACTTAGACCCATTCGAAGAATATTCGGATCCAGATATTTGGAGTGCATTGGAAAGTGTTGGCTTGAAAAGTGTTGTATCTCGTTCTTGGGGTAGCTTGGATAAACCATATGGGGAGAACTCTTCGGTTGGCCAACGTCAGCTTCTGTGTTTAGCTCGAGCGATATTGAGAAAAAATCGAATTCTTGTTTTGGATGAAGCAACAGCCAACGTTGATCCACAGTACGTATATCATCCATTTATAATTACTTTTAAAATCTAACACCTCATTTTCGTTTCCAAAACAGAACGGATTTATTAATTCAACAAACAATACGAGATAGATTCACGGAATGCACCGTTTTAACGGTTGCACATCGATTGCATACAATCATTGACTCAGATCGTGTGCTTGTTATGGACTCTGGACGAGCGGCCGAATTCGATGATCCACACACTTTGCTGCAGAATGGGAATGACATCTTTTATGGAATGGTCAAATCTTTGGGGTCCGATGAATTTAAACATTTTTCTGATGTTGCTGGCAATTGATAAAGTGACTAGATTTATTGAAAGAAATAAAAAATCGTGAAAGGATTTG